GTGCATTAGAGCATTCCCAAAAACTCCTTACGCAGCGTTATGACAACGAACTGGTCGTGTGCTGAAAGTTCTCTTCACGTCAATACGATGATAGAGACAAACTCCACTCAAAGGATTGATTACAACTGAACACAAGCACGCATTTATATTTCGCCTAGCACACAAGCACAAGGAAACACAAAGCAGTTGTTTAACTATACTTCAGGACTTCGCCAGATGCGCCAAGGAAAACGGTTGTCGAACTGCTTCGGAATTTGGCTTGGTTCTCCCCTGTAGAATAACTGTCTTCAAATTTCATGTCTGCCAAATTCCCATGCTGACTCCCCTCGTGAACGTTCGCGACTTCTCATGCGCAATCATAAACACTCGTGTGAGATTACCGTTTTCACGAAGTCTCACAGTTGAAAAACGGTTTTCACCGTTTTTCTCCTGTATCGAAATTGTCCCTTGACGCGCGTGATCTTTCCAGCGAAGTTACCTGTAAGACGAGTCAACGCGGGATACGGTTTTTCAACCGTAATCATGAGCACCCCCACGACTGCAATCATGCACGACCGATATTTCGGTCGTGCTATACAGTGCGCTGTACTGCGCGTGGGCAGGGCGATCATTCGCCCTGTTCTGTTGCGATCGTGGGCCATGCCACGCTAGCAACAGTGCGAAGGCACACGCGCGGGCCTGAGGGCCCACACGCACGATCAGGACCCCATGCGCGGGTCTCGATTTCCTCGCGCGGTTGACCTTGACCATCGTGAGAAAATATCCAAGGGTCAACATTGACCCCTCGTGAACACCCACGATACTTCATGAACACACACCAAAACAGAAAACGAAAAACTAACATAAAAGCTCACAAACATTCATGAACAGCGCACAAAATTCACGGAACTTCACGAACACAGTCACGAACACAGAAATTCACGAACACAGTCACGAACACAAAATTCACGAACACAGAATTAACACACACTTATGAGAACTCGCGAAGCAACGCAAACGCACACGAAGTCTTGCATTCACACACTGACATTCACGAACACTCAGGAACGCAACCTTTCACGAAAACTCACATAACTCATGAACTGTTGAGGCGATTCACGAGTCGTAAACACAGAAACGCAGCTCACGAAAAAGCGCAACTCGCACACAACAAATTACCTTCAGAACAAATGCCTCACTTTCACTCAACGTCGACAAGTAGGCGGTAGGTTGTCGTGCAAACAATTTATTGCACTCAACAAAACCAGGTTGGCAAGTGTGGCCAATTGATGTGAGGTGGTGTCAAACTATAATTGTTATAGCTTGTTAGTTTAGTCTAGGTGTTACACTGAAATATGCTATAGAGGGTATAACCCCCTTAGGGTTTGCTATATGCTCCCTTGTACTGCGTGTTTCTACATTATTCATTCTTCCAGTTCTATCTCTGACCTGGTATCAGAGCGTGGTGTAAGCGTCATAGTGCCCGTGTCTCCGGCTCCAGCATTCCCAAAACCAGAACCTCCACCGACAACACCCCCAGGGACTCTAGTGCTTCCGACAAGAACACCCCCAGGCTCCGCAGCGACCGGCCGCAAAGGTGAACGAGGAGGGAACTACGGAACAGATGGGAAGCCAGGGGGTGACGCGGGGCGAGGCCGCTGAGTCGTGACAGCCGAGTCCTCCTCAGGAGTGGTCTCCACTCTCACATCCCCTGCATCCCCAGAGCCGGCACCACGGGCTCCAGCAGCCCCAGTACCCACACCCTCCACAGCTGCACCTCCTACAGCCCCAGACACGACAGGAACTGGACGTTGCAGGAGAGAGGACCGCGAAGTGACGTGCGACACATCTGACGGGGCAGGACGCAAAGGGAGAAGGGGGGGGGGGGAGGGGGGGGGGGGCTACTGGGGCGACTGGGGGGGGCTCAGTGGTGAGGAACAGTGGAGAGGAGAAGGTCTTAGAACCTCGTTGAGGGCGACTCCTGTAGTAACTGATCGACTCGTCGAAAGTGTTGTCCTGGGAACTGAAGAACTAACAGGTAACCGGGTCGTAGAACTGCGAGCCGGGGGTGTCGAGTGGGAAGCCAAGAAAGACGCAGGCACGGGTGCGCGGAGACAACTTGTTCGCGCCAGGGGCGCGAACGTGGGCCAGGGAACCCCAAACACGGTAGTTAGCTGCTACACCCGGAGAACCTGTCCAAAGGGAGACCGGCGTCACCCGTGGCCGTGCGTCACTAGGCCACAGGTTCAGCTGGTGCGCGGCGTAGCGGACTACGTGAGACCACAGGAACCGGAGGGCATCGGCATGGCACGTGGAGGTCCGGTTACCCCGTTCTGCTTTGGCGAGTCTGGTAGCGTGTAAGACTGGATGATTACCCGAACCTGACAAAACGTCTCCAGGCGAGTGGAAGAAAACTCACCACCACGGTCCGAGTGCAGGCGGAGCCCACAAAGGGCCTGAGCGTCACCCCTTGCCAGTAGCCATGGCTCGAGGATGGTAGGCACGTCGTCCTTCCGTCGCAAAGGTAAAAAAGTGGTGTAGCGGGAGTAGTCGTCCACCACAATCAGGAAGTAGTGCTCTTGACGTGGGCCACGGACCGGGGAGGGGCCCTAGACATCCAAGTGCAGTGTCTGGAAGGGAGGCGTGGTGGGGGGGAACAACGAGGAGTGAGGGGCAGCGCGCTGCCGACCCTCGACGCAAGGAGTGCACGGCGGCGCCGGCGAGCGAGGAAGCGGAGCAAACGACTCTAGGAGACCTGAGACCAGACGGTGAGGTACCATTCTACTGAGACGCGGGTACGACGGGTGACGTAGACGGTGGTGCCAAAGGATCGACGGGTGCGTGAGTGACCGACAGTCGCACGACACAGCAACTACCTGACCTGATCTGACCCAGTGTGGTGGGACCCAGTGTGTAGTGAGTACAGACCAGAGCCCGGCTCCCTGTGGAAAGTGGCCAGAGGCACTCTAGTGGCACGGACTGTGCAGGAGGCAACACGCTCGTCCAAAGGGAAAGTGGTGACAACTCCGAGGTCGTGGAGGTGAATGATACCCACCAAGTTCCTAGAGAACGAGGGGGTGTAGTAACCAGTGAGAAACCCAGAAGGAGCCGCAGGACATGCGAGAATGATGGTGCTGTGGGCAACTACAGATCCCACGGAGGGGTCAGCCAAGGTGACAGTGACTGGAGTGTGCAGTGGCGTGAGGTCGGTGTAGTCGCGAAAGAAACAGCTGGACGCTCCTGAGTCTAGGAAGAAGGAAAGCTGTGCAGTCGGTGAGGCCGCACCCGAGCCAGCGACAAAGGCTGGTACTAGACTAGAAGTAGCTGCAGCTCCCACACTAAGAACCATTGAGGTGCCTAGACTGGAAACTGCGCAAGCACCAAGACAGGAAACACAAGTCTCAACCCCAGCTGCAGCTCCCACATATCGATATGTGTACTGGCCGGGTCCGACAGGGCCCTGTGGTGGAGGCTGCTGCTGGCTCTGCTGCTGAACCCAGTGGGTTTAGGGATTAAGGTATAGATAGCATGGGTTGGGAAAATCACAAAAGCCAAAGCGAGGTTACTATAAAGAAAGGATTTGATGTGCTTATAGGGTTTCCTTGGTTGGGTAGTCCCTTGGAACCTTCCTTCTCGTCCTCATCATCTCCTACCTTGTTCTTGCTACTCAAATTCCTTGTGTGGTTCTTGGGAGAATATTGGGATTGAGTTAAGTTTTAGCTCCAGCATACCCCCTAGTGCGTCGAAATTCATAACTTGAGTTTTACTTCGCGAGGGTCGCGCCGAAATTGGGAATTGTAGGTACGGTCTAGTGCTACAACATATCCGAAATTGGTGAACTTTCGTCAACGGCGTTTGTTGTAAAGTCGATGTTTCTGTCCAGAATTAGAGTCCAACGATTTTGAGTTATTTCGGCCTTGGATATTTCATATTTCATCGACTCCGTTCTTGATCATAACAAGAAGCGAGAAAGGAAGCTCGAGAACTCTATTTCTTGATTGCAAGATTTTGAATGAACATCATGAGCGAACAGTGGAGGGTGACGATGTCGTTGCCTCCAAGGAGCACATAATTTTTTAAGCTCGACGCATGTTATCCTGGCCCCTGTTGCCATCGCAACTAATCACGTTGCTGTTGACGCATAGCACGTTGTCATCGCAGTGATTCGTTGACTATGCGTTACCCACTTCTCAATCACCCCCATCCTCCCTCACTCACCCCCGTCCTCCCTCACTCATCCCCGTCTTCCCACACTCGCCTCCCTCTTTCCTCTCACATATCAGGCGGACAAGGAGGCAGAGGGAGCTGCCAAGAAGGCAACAGAGGCAGAGGCAGCAAAGAAGGCGTCTAAGAAGATAAAAAAAGACGAGCAAGACGAAGAAGAGCAAAGAAGTGGACTCGGACGTCAGGGATGAAGCGTAATTAGGCTGCAGCTAGAATAAGCCTAAGGTACTATTCCGTCACGTTCCCGTTTCTAGGGTACTCTTCCGTCACATTCCCGTTTCTCCTTTCTCGTCCTATCTTTTTTTCTCAGAACCTGCATGCTCTAGATTGGCAGCTGTGCTAGAAATCTGGCCTCCCTTGTTTGTTCCTCATGTCGACTGCATGATACCAAAGGGTGGAGCGGGTACTCCCATGTGGCAATGGACGATTCGTAGAGCAGTGATGTGATGCTACCAGTTGCAGCAGGAGGTGGAGCAACTCAGTGGCGCGGTGGAGCAACTTATGGGCGTGGTGGAGAGGGAGAGGGAAATGAGAAGGGCCGCAAAGGCAGAGATGCAGGCATGCGGACGATAGATGGGCGTGATTGATGCTGAGATGTACGGATGGTTATCTGTTAAACTTCTTGTACATTGATTTAGATACCAGTAACAACATTTCAATACTCTAAATAAATGAGAGGAGACCATTCGTCAACATAGTCAAGATGTGTGCACAGTTGCACAATGCACAAAGTCGAACGAACTACAATACAGTACCCTAGGTTTAGACCAACAGAAGTAGGTAATGAGAGATGAAACATGCATGCCTCAAGACGTCCCTTCTTTGGAGCATGTGGTGCTGAGGGCACGGCAAGTTCTTTTTCCCTTTCTCCAACATCAGGCATCGGTGTGGGTGCAGGCAGCAGTGTGCGTGGGGTGGTGAGGGAGGCGCCACCACATGCTTCTCCGCATGATACGATTCTGGCGTGCAGCTCAGCGCTCTATGGGGACGAAATGGTGTCGTGGTGTCATGGGGACATATGCCACATGTATTGAAGAAGGCCACAATGTCTGAGTTACGCACATTAGAAAAGAGCAATAAGGAGGGGTATGGGCAACGGGCGGGGTGCATGAGGCGTGCCTCTGAGTGCTCTCCATTTCCCTCCACTCCTTCCCTCTCTTGTTCTCCACTTTCCTTTTCAACTTCCTGCATGTTCCTCTCAGCTTCATGTAACTACGCTTAAGCGCCTCGGAAAAGGCCTTAAAAGTCCACAATTGCCGCCTGCCCGCCCGCGGCGGCGGCGGCAGCGGCGGGGGGCCGGGACCCCGGGGCCGCCGCCGGGGAGGGGCTGCGGGCGCGGCGGCCGCCGCCGCCGCTGCCGCCGCCGCCCGCCCGCCCGCGTCGGTCCGGGACCCTGGGGCCGCCGCCGGGGAGGGGCTGCGGGCGCGGCGGCCGCCGCCGCCGCCCGACCGCCCGCGGGGGGCCGGGACCCCGGGGCCGCCGCCGGGTAGGGGCTGCGGGCGCGGCGGCCGCTGCCCGCCCGCGGGGGGCCGGGACCCCGGGGCCGCTGCCGAGGACGGGCTGAGGGCTTTGGGATCCCATTCTTCATGGAAGAGGGTTTCCAGTTGGGGTAACTCTCCCCGGGAGTGGACGAGACAGCTCATGCAGAGGTGGTCGCGATGAGGGTGGAAGGGGAGGAGCAACGATGGTAGCAGACACTGCAGCAGCCAGCAGCTGGTCAGCCATCAGCTCGGGAGCGTGAACCTACTTGGCTGCCGGGTAATGGTGACGATGGTGTGGGTGATGGCGAAAGCGGTGGACAGGGGCGTGGGAGCCGTGCGGGGCAGAAAAGAGCGCGAGTGGCTGGTGGTCACGATTCGGGGCGGCTGGCTCAAACTGAAGAGGCCGTGGTGGACGGGCGGGTGCCTTGACTGATGTTGGAGGTACTGAACCTACTGATGGGTCAGTGCCAGCCGCTGCTGCGCCTGCTCCCCCTGCTGCTGCTGTTGCTGCGCCTCCGCACGTTGCAGCTGAAGGTGCTGCGCCAACTGCTGCTAGGCGCTACGTTGGGGTTTCCTGGGCCACTATCAATGCTATGAGGAAGGCCAACATGTTGCCAACCAAAGATGACTTGGATATGGTTGTGGAGAAGGTCTTGAAGTCGAGAGAGCAGGGTTTGGTGTGTGGCATGTTCGGGCCGTTAGTGAATGAGAAGAGGCGTTGCCTGAAGTGCAGCACTGGGATGAAGTAGGGATCAGGTAGCACGAGTGCGGGGGGGAGGCATTACTAGAGGGAGCACTACCCACGCCTTCAGATCTGGGTCCGTCGCTTCATGGACCCGAAGAAGCCAGAGAAACTTGCGATGCCGGATGGGGGGTGGGGACCATCCGTACCCGATAAGGCCAAGTGGCCATGGGAGCATGCTGATACGTGCATGACATCACAACAGCCAGAGGGGGGCGGTCCGGGTGGGTTGATAGGAGCTGTTGTCGGGGGGAGTAGGCAGACTACCATGGGCTCCTATGTTTCGCCACAGGTTGGTGAAAGGTAGCTGCGCGAGGGCCTGATGATGGTCTTTGTCGAGCTCGACTTGCCATTTCGAGCTTCTGCAGCTGTTGACAGGCGACGGACTGGCGGGGAGGGTGACACTCACCACGGACATATCAACCAGCAAGAACGAGATCGTGTTTACGGTGGTAACAGCTCACTGGGTCACCACGGACTTCAGGCTGCAGCAGATGATTCTCGACTTTAGGCCGTTGGAGGGCTACCACACGGGGGACACGATTGCGCAGGAGTTGGAGGAGTGGGCACTGGGTGATGCGTTCTTCAGCGTGACCACGGACAACGCCGAGACCAACAATCGGGCGGTTCGCCTGCTGGCAGGCGTCCCTGACTGTTATAGTCACAATAGGCTTGAATGTGCCTAAAACGAAAGATAGAGAGCACAGACGGATTTCTGCACAGCGGCTTCAAACGTTGATAGCGTTCTGCTCACAGCTGCAAATGACCTGATTCAAATTGGATCTGGAGCGTCTTCACGTCGTCTACAATTAGCAATTTAGATTGCACGATTTGATAAAGAATTGATGACACAGCGTCGGTTTGAACGAACGGTACTATGGCAGCCACTATAGTCTTAGAACACAAGATAGGAAGAGTTACGAGTTGGGAATGACTCCCAGCTCCTACAAACCCCAAGAGCCGAGGTACAGTGATGTGGAACAGTGCCACACTGTCCCCAACCGCGAAGGGTCTCGAAACTACCCTTCACTAGGGCCTACACCAAGTGAAATGTTACACTACACAAAGTAATGTAAATATCTTCAATATCTTGAGGTATACCCTTTTTGGCGAGCTTCGAAATCACTTGAGGCTTGACACCAAGGCTCGGGCTCTTCATCACAAACTCATCCTTGAGTTCTTGATGGGTCTGCTGCACACACCTGCGACACGCCGAACGTTCGACACAGGACAAAATAGAAACCGCGCACGACAAAATAGAAACCGCGCGCGAGACACAAACGACCGCGTAACACGCGTCTAGCGATAACTCGCTATTGACTCGACACACACACTCGACATCATGACTCAACATTCACACACAATTATAAGCATGAAATATATATTATCCCATGCCCTCATACCATTCCATACACACACACATTCACGCACACGGACAACAAGCCGAGTGCAAACCGTAGGGTTGCACCAACAAACTCCCCCTCGGATTGTTGGCCTTAGGATATGTTGCTCTCTCAGTTCAGAGCCATCCCAGCCAGCTTGCAACACTTCCAATGCTGCTGCTCCACCAGCCTCTTGGTCATCATGTCAGCCGGCTGCCCCGTGGTCTTCACGTAGCGCAACTCAACTTCACCCGCGGTTACCATGCTCCTCGTCCAATGCCACTTCACCCTCATGTGCTTCGTGAGTCCATGCAACACAGGGTTCTTAGCAAGAGCAATGGCACCCTGGCTGTCACAGTACAGTGGGGTAGGTCCTTGCTGCTCCTCCCCCAATTCAGCCAACAAACGCCGCTGCCACACAATCTCCCGTACGGCACGGAAGAGTGCCATGTACTCGGACTCCACCGAGCTCAAAGCTTGGTCAACCTGCTTCTTGCTCTCCCAAGCAGTTGGGCCTCCACCAACACAGCATATGAAGCCTCCCACACTTGTCATGTCCTCTGGTTCTGATGCATATGAAGCGTCCGAGTAGGCGGTGAGGAACAAACGCCCGGGTTCAACACCATCCGCGCCCTTTTGGCGCCTTTGTGCCGCCGCCGAGTATTGCAGCCCAACGGTCGGTGTTTGGCCAAGATATTTGGCCACCCTCATTCCAGCTGCTACCTGCTCCTCATTAGGGCATTGCACAACCCTAGCCAGCTGCCCGGTAGCAAACGCGACGTCCGGTCGGGTGTTTACCGCCGCATACATGAGGCTGCCCACCAACGAGTGAAATCGGCGCCTCTCCTCTTCACCAACGCTCTCCTCCTCTGGTCCCTTCACACACTTGAACCCAGAGGGAAAGGGTGTAGCCACATGGCCTTCACTCTGCCCAAAGTTGGCAGCCAATGCCTCCAGGTACTTTCGTTGATGCACCCGCATGCACCGCTTCTCCACATCTCGTTCGATGTGGAGCCCAAGGTAGAAGCTCACGTCACCAAGGGCCTTGCACTTGAACTTGTCTTGAAGCTTCAGCATCACCTCCTTCACAAGGTCAGAAGAGGGTGAGAAAATGAGGATGTCATCCACATAAACCACCATGAAACTCCTCTGCTCCCCCTCGCCAAGCATGAACAAGGAGTGATCGGCCGTTGAGGGAGTGAAGCCGATCCCCTCCAACACTTCGCGCAGCTTCATGTACCATTGCCTAGGGGCCTGCTTCAGCCCATAGAGGGCCTTCTTCAGCTTCCACACTCTGCCACTACCATCATCAAACCCCTCTGGCTGCGCCATAAAAATCTCCTCCTCAAGGATGCCGTTAAGGAATGCCGTTACGATGTCCATTTGCTTTACTACCCATCCTTTGATGGCGGCTCCCGCGAATAGGGTTTGCAGCGTCGTCGGCTTCACCACAGGGGCAAACAGCTCCCTGAAGTCCACCTTCTCCTTCTGCTGGTACCCCTTGGCTACAAGCCTAGACTTGTAGCGCTCGATCTTGCCGTCGGCATCCAACTTGATTTTGAAGAGCCACTTGGACGTTATCGCCGTACGCCCCTCCGGTAGCTCCACCAATTCAAACGTGTCATTCTCCTCGATGCTCTTCAGCTCACTCTCCATGGCCTTCTTCCACTCCTCAGCATCACTACTCTCCAAAGCCTCCTTGAGAGTTGCTGGTTCTCCCGGCATCTCCACCGGAGAGAAGAACGCGAAGGCACACTCCTCGTAGTCACTCTCCTCGTCGTCTCCGACCATCATTGCCGCTCCGGCCAGGGCTGTCTTGCCCTGCTTTCCCGGCGCATCATAGGTCAGCCTATTAGGGGGTTGAACTCTCCTCTTCCCCCTTCCTTCCTCCTCAGCTGCAGGGACTTGAAGGCCTTGGCGTTGCTGCGGTGTGGCTCGAATCCGTGGAGCACTCGTAGTACGGGAAGGGAGTGACGGTGCACGCTCGCTCACTTGCTGCACCTCCTCCTCTTCTTCCTCTGCATCATTGGCCTCCTCTCCCCCATTCACAAGGGAGGATTGCCTTGTGGTTGTGCTGCCGCTGCTCAGCTCCAAAGGCAGCTCCACATGCTCCAAACCGGAACTCTTCACCTCCCCAAACCGCACGCCTATCTTCGCCTCATTCTCCGCCTTCCAATCCTTGTACATGAAGTTCTCCATGAACTTGCAGTCCCTGCTCACCAAGAACTTCTTGGTGAATGGGTCCCAAAGAAGCCATCCCTTGCTGTTTTGAGCCATGCCCAAGTGCACGGCCCACACCGCCTTGGCACCAAGCTTGTTGTGCCGAAGATGCTTAGGCACGAGCGCCATGCACATGCACCCGAACACCCGAAGCATATCCACCTTTGGCTTCCTTCCTAGCCACTCCACATAGGGCACCCATTTGTCTGCTCCCACATGAGTCAAGGCTCTGTTCTTGGCCACACACGCGCTCCGCACCGCATCAGGCCAGAAATAGTCGGGTAGCCCGGCTTCAATGAGCAACCCGCGTGCTGCCTCCGTGATTGTGCGGTTCGCTCGCTCGGCGATGCCGTTCATTGCAGGGGAGTATGGCATGGTGAGGGAGTGCCGAATACCATTCTTCTTCAGCCACAACCCAAACTCCTTGCTCAGGAACTCTCCCCCTCGATCGGTGCGGATTGACTTGACTAGACGGTCTTGTTGCCGCTCCACCATCGGGAACCAATCCGTCTTCAACGTTTCAGCCACGTCGCTCTTCTTGGCCAGCACGTACACCCAAGTCATGCGGGTGTAGACGTCGACAATGGTGAGAAAATACTCAGCTCCAGCAGCTCCAAGCTTCAGGGGGCCCACCACGTCCATCACCACCTCATCAAGCGGTGCCTTTGCCGTTGCCTCCGAACTAGGGAACGGAAACCGGGTGAACTTGGCTTGAATGCACGTCGGGCAGCCAAGCACCTCATCGGGCTCCCCCTTCACACGTATGCCAACAACCATCTCATTCTTCACTAGCTGCTGCAAGATGGGCAGGGCCACATGCCCCATGCGCCGATGCAA